CGCGCATCACATGGCAGTCATGAAAACAATGCGGTCGAAACATAATCGATACTGCGTTGCACCACAGTTTTGCCGACAGCTTGAAACTTCATAACATTTCTCACAACAAACAAGTCGGTATTTGTCAGCAAACCAACATCTAGAATAATGATGACCTTGAACGCAACATTGTATCTACTTGGATTTGCAGCAATAAGTCAAGCGCTTACTCTAGACTTGACAGCTTCTCCTGGACAAATTTGGAGCCAACAACTGTTTGGGGCCACAGGCGGAAACGCCCAAGTTTATAGCGGGAACGGGCTGTTTCTCACCCCCGATGGATCCGAGGTCATTGCAATTGCAAACGATGGTAAGGTAGCATCTTATCGCTCTAGTGATGGACAGATAATGTGGAACCACAACCCGCCAGATGATGATGGAAGCGCCACTTTCAGGGTTGAGACTTTCAGTGGGATTGCCTTCTCCACGACAAACTCCGTAAGCAGTTTCATGGTGTACTCTGTGACGTACAAGGACGAGGACAGTGCTGGCAACGACTACACGTAAGGAAAATCTTCAATAGATCCATTTGATGTGAAAATCAATCTAGTATTCGTTCTCAAATCCTCTTTCATTCCAGCGTTGTTGTCAAGCGTGATATGTCTGGAGATCTCCTTTCCGTATCTCCGAGCTTGGAGGGAGAACATTCGGGAAGTCCAGTTGTTTCAGATGATGGTAATTATGTCTTCTTGACCCACAACTCTCCCGACAAGACAACAGGTTACTTCTCCATTCTTGATGCGAATCTCGAAATTGTCGTTACAAGATCCAATGAGAGAGCATTTGCACCACCAGGAATCTACCATAGCCCAGAGGAGGGCTTTTACGATGGTATTCCAGGAGTTGCCGATGGATCTTTGAACACCAATGATTTGATCATGTGGTCGTTGACTCCAGAAGTCCCGAATGCCCCTGGAGGTATTGGTCGCATTTTTGCCTTCCAATTTGCAAGAGACTATGACATTACAGATGTCGACACACTCAACTACTTCATTCTGGGGTCGGTTCGTGCATTCCAGACAATTACACCCCCTGTCATCACGAACAAAGGACGCAGTGTCTATTGGAGTACTTCCCGAAGTGAGTTTTTTGGCTTCATTGGAAACCCAGGGGTGTACCGAGCTCGATTCAACCGCAACCCAAACCTTAGGATACAATTTGAGATGAATGCGCAATGGAGCGGACAACCAATTTTCTCCACTCCCGCTGTATCCACGGAAGCAGATGGCAGTGCTGTTGTTTTTGGTGGAAGTGCATCAAATGAATTCTTTCGTTTCGCCCACTTCTTCAATGGGACTGATGGCGTGGCATCGAGAATTTTGATTGCGAGAACTCCAGTCACAACTGCGACATCTACTCTCATTGTGACCTCACCTGTTATTGATCCACTTGCAAGGGCCGTCTACTATGTTGAAAGCGATGGTACGTTGCATCAGGCCAATTACGATACTATAGAAGATATTTGGACCGAGTCCATCTTGACTGATGGGGTGCAAGGTGAAATGGCAATGAACGCAGATGGTTCGATTCTCTATGTCATGAGTGTCGAGGGCCGAATCATTGCCCTTGGCGTCGCCGAAGAGGACACTGCAAAGGCTCCAACAGGTGCTCCTATGCCAACTTTGCCACCTGTCACATCTGCACCTTCTGTTCCCCCAGTTTCTCAGCCATCCTCTAGTGTACCGTCTATGAGCGAACCCACAAGTGTACCATCTATTATCCCCGTTTTAGAACCCACAAGTGAGCCATCTATGAGCCCCGCTTTGGAACCCACAAGTGTACCATCTAGGAGCCCCATTGCGGAACCCTCTAGCGAACCACCTACGAGCCCTACTGCGGAATCCTCAAGTTTACCATCTATGATCCCTGCAGTGGATTCGACAAGTGAACCATCTACGAGCCCTGTTGCGGAACCCACAACAGGTGATGAGACTCCATCCGATACTACTGCACCCTCTACGAGCCCCGTTGCGGAACCCTCAAGTGTACCGTCGACGAGCCCCGTCGCGGAACCCACAACAGGTGGTACATCTATTGATGCGGCGGGTGATAGTGGTGCTTTCACAAAATCCATGCAGCTCGCTGTCATATCTCTTCTGTACACATTCCTTCTGTAATTGCTGTGTGCAGAACAGTTTCGTTTACTTTTCAAAAAAGTCTTTTCAACGACCGTCATTTTGGTAGAGCTAGTTTCTTACAACAACCGTCATTTTTTGAGAATGATCTTTGAGTTGTGTTTTGTTATCAGTTATAATTTTAACGTCAATACATGTAATAAATAGATATGCTTGCGCTGGCGTTTTGCCTGTTATCTTGATGTGATGGATGCGTGCGGTGGTGGATTATTGGTGTAATGGACAATACTACACTGCTGTACTGTTGCACTCAAAAGAAGTAAAAATATGGGCTTTCGAAGGGTGTGTGGTATAATCTGCGAAGTGGCCCGTCTTCTTTTCCCCGGGCAGCTTTGCTTGTGCACGTGAAAACTGAGATGTACAGTAACTGTACGGTGGGGTTTGGTGTTCGGGTGTCAACAATTAAGCTATTTATTTAGTTAATGTTTTTTGTCACATCGTGTGGAGCCTTAATACGACCCAAATTTGGTCGTTTTATTTCCGACTCTATCGACCAAGTCCAATGATCGACTCAGTCGACTAAATATTTGTTTTTAGTTTTTCAGCCTTTACGGCACGTTATGTCTGCCTTCCTCACCATTTGCAGACTATACCCTGAACATTTATATATATTATGCAGCTGTATTTTTAACCGTTTTCTTCGACCGCGTAGAAATTCCACGAATCTCATGAATCATCGCGTTTTTTATCACATACCGGTACACCGACACTACCGGTACCGGTATATTGCTTCACTTCGTATATCCGGGCGACTTTGCGAGGACGTCTGCAGCTCGTCAATCTCCTCGCCGGCGCTACACGCACTGTTCAGGTAGATAAATTTTATGCACAGCATCCAGTCGCGGTCATAATACATACCGGTACACGTACCAGGTACACTTCAGCCCAAAACATCCATCGAACGCAATTATTGTTATGACAACAATGCAGTGCTACGATCTTATTGTTTTGAGCGTGCAACGTAATTGGCAAAAGCACCAAAGTTTCTCGACAGCTTGAAACTTCATAACATTTCTCACAACAAACAAGTCGGTATTTGTCAGCAAACCAACATCTAGAATAATGATGACCTTGAACGCAACATTGTATCTACTTGGATTTGCAGCAATAAGTCAAGCGCTTGCTCTAGACTTGACAGCTTCTCCTGGACAAATTTGGAGGCAACAACTGTTTGCGGCCACAGGCGGAAATTCTCACCCCCGATGGATCCGAGGTCATTGCAATTGCAAACGATGGTAAGGTAGCATCTTATCGCTCCAGTGATGGAGAGCCACTGTGGAACCACAACCCGCCAGGTGATGATGGGAGTGCCGCTTTCAGGGTTGAGACTTTCAGTGGGATTACCTTCTCCACGGCAAACTCCGAAAGCAGTTTCATGGTGTACTCTGTGACGTACAAGGACGAGGACAGTGCTGGCAACGACTACACGTAAGGAAAATCTTCAATGGATCCATTTGATGTGAAAATCAATCTAGTATTCGTTCTCAACTCCTCTTTCATTCCAGCGTTGTTGTCAAGCGTGATATGTATGGAGATCTCCTTTCTGTATCTCCGAGCTTGGAGGGAGAGCATTCGGGAAGTCCAGTCGTTTCAGATGATGGTAATTATGTCTTCTTGACCCACAACTCTCCCGACAAGACAACAGGTTACTTCTCCATTCTTGATGCGAATCTCGAAATTGTCGTTACAAGATCCAACGCGGGAGCATTTGCACCACCAGGAATCTACCATAGCCCAGAGGAGGGCTTTTACGATCCTATTCCAGGAGTTGCCGATGGATTTTTGAACACCAATGATTTGATCATGTGGTCGTTGACTCCACAAGTCCCCAATGCCCCTGTACCTAGTGGTCGCATTTTTGCCTTCCAATTTGCAAGAGACTATGAAATTAGAGATATCGACACACTCAACTACTTCAATACGGGAACGGATCGTGCATTCAGGACTATCACACCCCCTGTCATCACGAACAAAGGACGCAGTGTCTATTGGAGTACTTCCCGAAGTGAGTTTTTTGGCTTCATTGGAAACCCAGGGGTGGACCGAGCTCGATTCAACCGCAACCCAAACCTTAGGATACAATTTGAGATGAATGCGCAATGGAGCGGACAACCAATTTTCTCCACTCCCGCTGTATCCACGGAAGCAGATGGCAGTGCTGTTGTTTTTGGTGGAAGTGCATCAAATGAATTCTTTCGTTTCGCCCACTTCTTCAATGGGACTGATGGCGAGGCATCGAGAATTTTGATTGCGAGAACTCCAGTCACAACTGCGACATCTACTCTCATTGTGACCTCACCTGTTATTGATCCACTTGCAAGGGCCGTCTACTATGTTGAAAGCGATGGTACATTGCATCAGGCCAATTATGATACCATAGAAGATATTTGGACCGAGACCATTCCCGATGGGGTCCAAGGTGAAATGGCAATGAACGCAGATGGTTCGATTCTCTATGTCATGAGTGTCGAGGGCAGAATCATTGCCCTTGGTGTCGCTGAAGAGGCGCCATCCATGAGCCCGACTACGGAACCCGTAAGTGTACCATCTATGAGCCCGACTGCGGAACCCTCAGGTATACCATCCATGAGCCCGACTGCGGAACCCTCAAGTGTACCATCCATGAGCCCGACTGCGGAACCCTCAAGTGTACCATCCATGAGCCCGACTGCGGAACCCTCAGGTGTACCATCCATGAGCCCGAGTGCGGAACCCTCAGGTGTACCATCAATGAGCTCGACTGCGGAACCCTCAAGTGTACCACTTATGAGGCCCGTTGCGGAACCTACAAGAGGTGGTGATTCTATTGATGGGACAGGTGATAGTGGTGCTTTCACAAAACCCATGCAGCTCGCTGTCATATCTCTACTGTACACCTTCCTTCTGTAATTGCTGTTTGCAGAACAGTTTCTTTTGCTGAAAAGTCTTTCAATGATCGAAATTTTGGTAAAGCTAGTTTCTTGCAACAAATGTCATGTTTGATATGAAGGGTGCTGTTTGATTTGTTTTTTGTTTTTAGTTCTAAAATAGGCGTGAATCATTCTAGCATATCGAAGCGTCGCAGGACAGGCTTAGGTCAGTACAAGTTCAGTATCAAATGGGTAGTTGTTCAGCTGGCGTTTTGTCTGTTATTGATAGGATGGATGCGTGCAGTGGTGGATTAGTGGTGTAATGGACAATATAGGTTCACTGCGTCTTCCTAAATATCCTGTAATTGGTTGCACTCAAAAGAACTAAAAATGTACGCGTTCAACGAACACCGGCGGGTCAAGTAACACGATTCATGAGATTCGTAGAATTTCTACGCAGTCAAAGAAAACGGTTAAAAATACAGCTGCATAGGTATTCTGAATAAGTGAAAAGGCAACATTTCAATATGGGTGGTGCAGGGATGACGTAAGTTCACTGGGAATGATGGGCACTTTACGCTTTTCTTAGCTTAGTATTATTCTGAATCAGATTTCTCATCAACCTGCCACTCACAAATAATAAGAATTCCAGTGTCATCACAGTCACAGATCTTTCGCAAACACTTCAATATGAGTTGCAATCTTCCATCAAACAATCATGATCGAGAAACAAACAGTAGTCTGCTGCAAGGAACAGCACCGCATGATGATGATGAAGCAGTATTCCAGATGACGACACCAAGAACTGCGACAGAGTTGGTCGACGAGTCCATCGCCATCATCAACGAAACTGAAGATCTGGATGGGATTAACACTTACATATGCGATGGCGACTACACGCCCGATCAATTGAATGGCGGTGACAACAGAAATGGGGATCTTCCAAAGCAATAATCCGAGGTCGCAGGCAGGCTATGCAGCCTCGAACCATTTCATCTTTGCCGTATTCCACGGCGTCTTGAAGCCATCCCATCAGAGTCTATGTACCGGCAGCAAGTAAGCAATTTTGTAGGTTAGGAATAGTAACAATAGAATGGCTATTACATATTATTATTTCGCTACGTTATTTTGAAAATCTCAAATGATCTCGCATAATCAAAACGGCGTTTGACACTCTCGTATAATTGCTAACTGGAAAGTCGGGAGACATGTTACTCACAATGTTGTTGGCACAATACATGTTGGTAGTCATTTATCTTATCTACTGAGCTTTGAGGGCATCCAACAGTTCTCGAATCGGCAATAGGACATGGGACAAGATTGCTTTCAGATTCTTTCGTTGCCTCCAAGATAGAATCGTTATTGTCAGAGACAAGATGACTTGTGACTTGAAATACGGGTTAGTATTCCGCGCTAATGTCACTTGTCGCATGGTTTCGTGTATTTTGTGGTGTGCAAAACTAACCAGTCGATCGATCCACGTCTGATGCTTTGGATTGTGTGGAAGGGGATAGTAGGATATGGGCGAAGTCGGGGGCGCCTCTTCCTGGAATGGCACCATCGATGTCTCCTGCTTTTCTTTTACATTCAAGTCGTCGCTTTCGTTGACTTGATTCGCCACTGAAGCTGCTTCTAGGCTTGCTTTCCATGACTCGTCAATTATCTTCATTGCTATTGGCGATAGAAATTCATTCGCCTCGACTGATGTCGTTGCTTCTGCAATCTTCATGTCATCTTCATTGATATCGCAGTTGATACGACTCCACATTTCTTGGATGAGACGGATCGTCCTATGCTGCGGATGGTCCGCCATTGTGACTGCCAGTAGGCACGCATTAATGTCTTGTAGCGTCGCATCCCAATTCAATGGTGTTTTTGGACCACCACCACCTGATTTCGGTTGTTGGTCTATTCGCATAACCTTTTCCAAGTGACCCATGAAATCAGTTGCGAGCTTGGGATTCCGAATACGTGGTAGCTGATGTGTCAGGCATTCGATCCATAGTTCTTCTCTTGGACTAATGGTGGTGGCTGCTGGTTGGCACAATGCATCAGAATCGTAAATTTCACTAGATTGTCTACACAGTACAGAGACATTCCACTCCAATGATTCTTTCCAGAGACCTTGCGCTTGCCAAAACTGCATCCAGACGCAAAATGCCTCCAAGCCAATCGAAGAATTCGAGAGAGATTCAGTCATGAGTTTCCACAGGTGTTTTGAGTGATTCTGGCTGCTGTGCTTTCGACTCCTCCTCCAAAGGGAAGCAGTAGATGACTCTTTCATCTGCAATTGCGCATCCTTCTCTTCGGTTGCTTGTAATGCAATGACGATCATTTCATCCAAAGTTGTTGGTTCCGTCATAGGTTCGTCACGGCAGTCGACGTGAATATCAACATCCTTATTGCTTTCAGCATAATAGTACCAATGCGGTATTTGACAGTTCAGATTTACTATCCAGCTGCTCTTTGTATCATCTTGTACTAATATTTGACTCTTCGCGGATCTTGAATTAGTGTCATGCTGCTGGATAGATTGGAAATAGTCACTGCAAATGGCAATCGCTTCATCGTACTTTCGCTGCAACAAGCAGCGTTGGGCTTGTCGAAGTCGCTGATACTGTTTTTTGTCAAAGTCTTCTTCTTCCACTTGTTGTTGATGATGATGGTGATGGTGATGGTGACTCGGGTGCTCTTGGAAGCCATTAGCGCCAACTTTTGATGAGCTCTGGAACTTTTCCATGGTTGTATCATCCGTAATATACAAGCATAAATATATATATTATGTATCTACTGTCACCGTAGGACTACCGGTACTGCATATATGCATCATAGTTGAAATGAAACGTACTGTAGTATCGTGCGGCGATGGGTACACGTACTACATCAGACTCAAACTGACGACTCGCATCGAACGATTTTATTACGCACGTTTCAAACTACTATTTTTAAAATAAAAAAAAGAATAGCATGCGGAAGCGAAAAATAAAACGCGTCTATGCGATATACTGTACGATGTGCAAACCATACTATACCATACTGTAACATTATTCTCAGAACCCCCCCCCCCCAAGAAGATAGAAGAAAATGAACGAGAGTGCTCCTAATGCGATGTATTATGATGGGCTTCTTATACACAAACCTACTATTCGAGAACGAACATTGTCGCTCGTTCGAACATTGTGGAACGAAGGCGGCGCCGCAAATGGCAGAGGTTATTGTGCTGGCAAGACACCATTCCATGTGGCATGCGATGAAGGTCGTTTAGAGGTTGTCAAGTCGCTACTGGAGAAGGGTGCTGACATTGATGCCAAGAGCAATGATGGAAATACGCCATTGCACTTTGCATGCAGGAAAGGTCATTTGGAGATAGTCGAGTTGCTACTCCTGGAGAATGGTGCTGAAGTGAATGCCAAGAACGATGATGGAAACACACCATTGCACTGCGCATGCAGTCACGGTCATTTGGAGATAGTCGAGTTGCTACTCTTCGAGAATGGTGCTGACATTGATGCCAAGAACTACGATGAAGAATTCACATCATTGCATGAGGCATGCGATGAAGGTCATTTGGAGATAGTCGAGTTGCTACTCAAGAAGGGTGCTGACATTGATGCCAAGGACCATGATGGAAAGACACCATTGCACCATGCATGCTGGCAGAAGGGTCATTTAGAGATAGTCGAGCTGCTACTCGAGAATGGTGCTGATATTATTAATAAGCATACCAAGAACAATGATGGAATTCCACCATTGTACAAGGCATGCTGCAATGGTCACTTAGAGAGCGCCAAGTGTCTACTCGAGAAGGGTGCTGACGTCAATCTCGAAAACAATTATCCAAGCACGCCATTGCATATAGCATGCTACAATGGCCATTTGAAAGTAGTCAAGATGCTGCTCGAGAATGGTGGTGACATTGATGCCAAGAACTATTATGGAAACACACCATGCCATGAGGCATGCTATGGAGGTCATTTAGAGATAGTTATGTTGCTACTCGAAAATGGTGCTGACATTGATGCCAAGACCAATTGTGGATGCACACTATTGCACTTTGCATGCTACAATGGTCAGTTAGAGACGGCCAAGTTGCTACTGGAGAGGGGTGCTGACATTAATGCCCAAGACAGTTTTGGAGACACGTCCTTGCACAATGCAAGGGATAGAGGTCATTTGGAGATAGTCGATCATTTGAAGATAGTCGAATGGCTTTTAGACAACGGTGCTGACATTGATGCCAAGAACAATGATGGAACGACACCATTGTACAACGCATGCGACGAGGGTCGATTGGAGGTAGTCCAGTTGTTATTCGATAAGGGTGCCAACTTGAATGCCACAAAAGCTGATGGAGTGACAGCATTGCATATTGCATGCCGTGAAGGTCATTTACAGCTGGTCAAATGGCTTGTCGAGAAAGGTGCTGACATTACTGCCCAAGACAGATATTTTGAGAAAACACCATTACACTATGCATGCGATCAAGGTTATTTAGAGATAGTCAAGTTCCTTCTCGACAATGGTGCTGACATTGGCTACGGCTACTATCCATTGGACCAGGCGTGTATGAAGAAGAGTCTTAGAGATAGTCAAGTTGCTAGCCAACTTTCTAGTCGAAAAGGGTGCTGATGGTCTTGCCAAACCCACAAACGCCATTTCGAATGATGTGTTGCAAGGACGAATAGCACAGACATCAAACGTTGTATATATAGCACCTATTATATTACATTATTTCATAGCTCACAGATATATGGTACCAAGAGCAACAGCAAAAGCAACGAATTATCTGTTGGTATCACCTACCGGTACGTATGCACACGTGTACTCATCACATACTCGACGACGACTCAAATTGATTTTTTTTGCAACAGTAACTTGGATTATTTTTTGCAACAGAAGGTCAAGAGTTCTGGTCCATCCTCGCCACATAGGAACGGCACGACGCTTTGAATCACTGCATCCATGCCCACAATGGAAAGGCGGTTCTCAGCTCTTTCATCTGGATCTATGGACCACCCCCAAGTCTTCCACAGAACCAATTCCAGGGTACCAGCCTGAAGTCTTGTTCGATCCAAAAGGCGTATCATTCCCATGGAATCAAATTTCTGTTCGTCTTGAAACGCAAGTGGAATGTTTGGAGAGTTCTTCAAATCCAATACTTTTAGCCGAGGAAATCCAGCCAAGACTGAGAGTGGAGGAAGCTTGCTGATAGGCGTGTTACTGGCAAAGATGCTATGCAGTCTTGTCAAGGGAGCAAGGGCGTTGTCTTTAGAGTCGTCATTGTCATTGTCATTGTTAGTGAAATACTTCAAGTATGGACAACCTCTGACATTCAGCGCTTTCAGTTCGGTCAAGTTGCGAATCCCATCCGGTAGACAAGGGTTGATACACTTCAGACGGGCCAACCCGAGATAGACAAGGTTGTGACACTCGTCCCATAAGGCGTTGGGAATTTCCTTCAGGCTAGTACATCCTTCCAAGTAGAGCGATGTTAGATTGCGCATTCCACTCCAATCTCGCGGAAGATCCTGCAAATTCGAACAGTGGGTCAAGGTTAGCCGGCTCAGTTGTGTCAGACTGACAAATATTTCATCCGGCAATTGGGTCAGCGAGGTGCAACGTGGTAGGTCCAATTGTGTGAGTCCCTTTAGTTTCCGTATGGAAGGTGAAACTTTTGCAAGAGCGTGACACCTGGAAAAGTGCAGTGATTGTAGCATGGTATCAAATTCAAACAATTCTTCGGGTGTGAACCGAATTTCAAATTCCGAAAGGTCCAAATATTCAATGATTTGACGGCCAGTCTCGGGACAAACTGATAGCTCGTAGGTTTCATCAAAATCACTAGCCACAATGATGGGGGTGACTTCCCTGAATTCATTCCCGCTCTCGTCGTCGTCGTCGTCGTCGATGACATCATGATGGTCATCCATTGGTGGCAGCGGAATTTGAATGCAGGCCTTGGCAATTGCTTCTTTGGCTTGATTCACAAGACGACCAAGCAGGTAGTCTTGTCCTTGATCCATGCTGTATCTATTTCCCTTTCGCAACTTGGTACTACCGGTATGGTATCAATGAAGCCAGTTTCAAGATAGATATGACCGTCATTCATTCATGATAATATCTCGTCCATTCATTTTGATTCATTTTGATTCATTCATTTTGTTCTCACTTATTTGTGATTCAGATGGCGGGACTCACTCGGGAATGGAACAATCACGATTGAAATTTCAGTTTCTCTGTCATTATTTCACGCAGGCAGGATGCTATTGGCAATACAGTAGTAATAGTATTACAATATACATACACGTACATACCGGTATACATATGCAAAGCCTGGTAGTGACAATGACAACGACAGTGATATTCACCCTCGCAGCTACACAAGAAAGAAGTCCGTCATGACGAATTCTACTCATTCGCCAACCTCAACTTCGACCAACTGGAAGAAGCGAGCAGAAGCTTGGAATTTGTTATTGCCACCCTCCGATACTCTGAATAGTTGTAACTTCTTGAATCCTAATACGAGCATACAGGAATGTATACAGTCGACACTGGGCATCAAATTCGACGATGATAATACAGGGCAGCATCCTTTTGTTGAATATATGAAAAGATTTCGAGATTCATTCAAAGCACTGCAAGGTGAGATGAGAGGTATTGAGCAGGAGCAAAAGCCCGAAATGCTAAACAATGATAATCAAGAAATAGCAAGCATTGAGAATCCCAGTGATGAAGATTCCAGCCAGAAGCGCAAGGTACAAAAAATCTCGAGTCGGGAGAGGGAATTGGAACGCAAGTTGTTGGAATCAGAACGCAAGAGTTTGGAAGAAAAGCAATTGAGGTTGATGGTTGAAGTGCAACAAGAAATTGGGGAAATACGCCGCGTTCATGATTTAGTTCAAGTAATGCTCAATTGGTGTGCCACCTGGGGCAATGAAACGTTATCAATAACGAAATCAGATTCTCGGCTGACTTCAAATAAGGAAATGAGTTCTGTGGACGATAATGACTTGTACGCGACTCCACCCAAAAATGCGTGTCAACCGTCTATCAGGTATGTGAAGGAGGACGAGTTTTTGAAGGATCTCATTGCCAGGTCCTCTTGGGGAGACCTGGAAGAGAAATACAAAAAGTCATTGGATAATCTGGCAACCAGTCTTAGTGACCTAATCGATTTAGGCGAGAAGTCGGCTACTGATGCTCATAAGGCCACGAATAGTGAGGGTAGCGAGGAGCGCAAAAGGCAGGTGGGACATATTGTAACTACAATCCTTGGCTCTGACTTCGTCAGCAATGACAATGCAAACCAAAGCTTCGAAAGACTGCAGATCCGAGGCTCAGACCAGACTACTGTTGCACAGCCTGTACTTCATGCTATCATCTATCGAGTGCTTGACATCGTAGGTTTGCGTGAGCTTTATGTGTCCAAGGAGAACAATACAAGAGGTGGAAGTGGAAACGAAAAAGACCGCCATGTGGGTTTTTTGGTCCACGAAGTGCAAGAGCACCTTTCTTACTCCCTTCCAAGTATCATTGAATCATTATTTGAAGTAAAAAAGTGTGAAATGGTTGGGAAAAAGGATGTCAAATTGATTGAGCTCGCGGTGAAGCAAGCTATTGGAAACAGTGCGAGGAGGATGCGGGGAGAGTTCAACTTTCTAGGTATTGGTGCGGATTGTGAACTCTATGGAATTGCCACTTCGTTGTCCAAAATATCTATCGTCAAAGCATCGCTGCAAAAAGTAGGGACAAAATCAGTCGAGATTTCATGGAGTAGGACAAAGGGAACGGATTTATTGTCGTCAGTGGGTCTTCAGCTACTAGCGCTTGCAATTAGTGTCAGCTACGATCTTTCTCGAGTGCAACATAGTATTGCTACCCTAAAACCAAAACATATCTCAAAACAAATCGATGATGGATCGCGAACAGTGGCTGAAATGCCCGACTTTTCGATTTGCGAGTACTTGGGTTCAGGAGCTTTTGGCATTGTGTACAAGCTTTCGGCTACTATTGGTGACACTGTCAAATCACCACAGCAGCAGTCCGATTTTTTTCTCAAGATCCCATCATGCCAAAGGGCATCGGTTTCGTTGCATGACGAGGCAAACATCTTGGAACGGCTGAATAGTGACAAACCAATCACAGGAAAAGTCTCCAACATCCCTTCTTTCAAGCTGTTGGGTAGCTTTGATATCAATTTGAATGATTTTACAGGTGAGACTGACGGTCTACTTCTCAATGGAATAATTGGCACACCTGCCCATAAGGTGAAGTACAACAAGGGGCAGTTATGGTCTGTCGTCAGAAAGGTGTATGCCACCCTAACGGCTGCACATGAACGGTCAGTTTACCATCTCGATATCCAACCTGCCAACATTATCGTCCGTGAAGTGTCGTCGTCGTCCTCCTCCTCCTCCTCGTCAGATAATGATTTGGATGTATTGGTGATTGATTGGGGCGTTGCAATCTCTGACGATAAACAAATCCTCTTTCGGGGATGCATACCATACGCTCACGATGAGCTCCTTGCAAAAGCGAGGAACAAAAGTATGGCCAAGCCAGAATATGACTTTGCTTCACTTATGTACACGTGCTATCACTTGGACGTGGGTTTTTTACCATGGAATGTCGTGATGGATGAGCATGGGAAGCAAGTATGCGACGTCGGACAGAGGCGAGAGACAGTGTTGCAATGGTGGGAACAAAAACTTCAAGAAGAATGTCATCATTGTGACGAGGACAAATTCGTTCTGAATAGTTTGCAAAACTCGATATCTATAGGCTAGATTGTCTATATCGTTTTCACAAAGCAGTCAACTGACTGACTTGCTTGAACCCAGATATTTTATAGAACCCTCTTAATGCCCAGCATATTACAAAGCAAGTCAAATCTATCCATTATGCCATGAACAAATCCTATCCTGTTTTTCGACTGCGAGCGCTTGGATTATGTTGTGCAACAAAACATCAGCAATTCTAGTCCAGCATCCTCACCAAATAGAAACGGCATATATGCAAGGCGCTTTGAATCACTATCCATGCTCACCGCATGAGACGGTTCTCGGCTCTGCAATCCCCAAATCTTTCACAAATTTTAAAACGATCCAAAGGTTCACCAGAACACCAATGAATTCCAAAGGATTGATATGGAGACCGTCATTGGAACCATCCGAAACAGGTTCGGAAGATGCCAAATCAATGTCACGCATATCAAACCTCGCGACAAAGGCGCCAAAGGAAACCAAAATCAGAACTCCATCCACTAATTCCAGCATAACTAGCATCCAAAAACACTCAGTGCAAAAAATCACGGTCCAAATAGAGGGAAATGGGACGCGACCACAATGGACTTCCTTCAGAAACAGTAAGTGTTTCCCGAATCTGATGCAATGTTGCAATAGCAACTCCCAAAAGATAGATCCAAGATTGAGTCCACCAAGAATGATTTGTAGCATATGCATTTCGTGCAGCTGTTGTCAGCGCATGTTGCAAATTTAAAAACTAAGAAATGTTCGCCATGGGGCAATGGCCGCCGCCGATCGAATCACACCAATAATGTGAGCCATCTCTTTGGGAGTCACATATTTTTGTTTGCAAGAAAGAATATCCTGGATTTTGTCATCCAGTGCTTTCCGTTTTGCAGAAGGCCAAGAAACGGTCATAGCATGGGTGTTAATGCCGAATCCAAGAAATAGAAAAGTCTCAGAAACAAGAGAAGTCCACTTAGCATCCTGAAGACAGCCACCTCGACAATCTGCGTCACCAAAGACGTCAAAAGCTGACCTGACGCTGTGTTGGAGTGCCTGCGGCATTGTTTTCAAATATGCCACCACGCCATTATCATCCACAAAGCTCGCATTGTACATTTCAGTTTGCTCCTGCAAAGTGAGTGGAGGATGATTTGAATCTGGAGGCACCTGGACAAGAGGAGAGGAAGTATCTACCTCATAGGTGCAGGAAGCGACCAATGGATGAAGAGTAGGCTCATTCTGTCGACAAGCCGCCAATGCTTGGCGGACATCAGCAAGTACACAGTAGTAGGAAGGTGCATTCCGAGAACCAAAAAATTGACCCACTGGAACCATCAGATACTCCGAATAAACATATGCAAAAGCACACGCCATACCGGGATGATAGAGCACTCGTCAAAATGCAGCTTCTATATCATCCGCATGGACCATAATGGGATCATTTGGGCAAGTGATGCGCATCCTTAGGATTTGATGCAAGAAGCGGTCAAATGCATATTGGTAGTACACTGCAGGGCATTCATCCTCCTCACCGGGAATAGCATCTTTTGGAGATGGAATGTAAAGATTGATGGAACCGAACAAATTAGGACCATTGGAGCAATCAATACAGATTCGACCCTTTCCCTTATCAAAGACCCACTGAATCGGATTGATGACCAGGCCCGGGAGAAATTCATAGACAAATCGCAGGTAGTGGATGTGGTAGGAGTTCCACTCCTCCTTTGCAAATTTATTCTCCACCGCGTCCAAGTTAGCACCCACCGCTGGGTGGTTATCATATTTGTTTTGTAGAAGTGTTGCCTCCATAGGCATAGTATATTGTCCACGGAGAGGAACACCTTCAGTTTGAATACGATACGCCATGTCCAATTTTGTAGGTGGAAAATCGGATGGGAGCACCTTTGACTTCAAATGGGATTCAATGACATCCCATTCAAGATTGAAGTCACGCCCTTCGTTGGTATATTCACCGCCGAGCCAGCAAACAAAATCACCATGATTGAAATCAAATTGTAGCAAAGTGGCTGAATTCAGCCATGCTCAATGTGGATCCAATCAGCCACCAAGAGACGTGGAAGTTGCAAGGACTTGAGAGAAGTAACACATGCAAAATGGCGCAACTCTGCGTACTGTTTCCAAACAAAAGATGCCTGTATTGCCGCAAGTCGATCCTCAGCGGAAAGATATGGCCAAGCAAAATGGATCATGGACAGTGGATTAACCACATCCTGATTCAAACTGCGGTCTTTCAAAACCCGGCCAAAACCATAGAGTCGTTTCTTGACGGGATTGCATGGAGGTGCAATCCAAGTATTCAACACCATAGAGTTTGGTGCAAGATGATGGTGCGCCACATTCAAAGTATGGATAGTACAAGCATCAAGAAAACCACTAGCTTGAACATGAACAGCAACATCCATAAAATCCACAGTGTCATTCCACGCTGTAGGTGGTTGATCCAAAGGTGGTCGAACGCCCTCTGCCACCAATGACCAGTCCATCCGCCAAGGGACTGACCACTTCTGCCTTGCCTTTTTCTGCTCCTTTTTTGTCTAATCCCAAGTCCATTTTGTTAGAAGTAAGCGATCCACTGCCGCCTGCAATCTACCTGTTCAATTGACTGCAATTTAGCTGTCCAGGTATTGTTGCCTTCTAAGTTTATGAATTTACAGTATATAGAAGTATATAGATCTATCAGAGATCCTTCTTTATCAACCAATTCACTCGTTGCTTGCAATATATTATAAAAAGTGAGAACAGTCTGTCAACTTTTGACTTTGACTCTTTCTTCTCCAGCTCAGTGGAAATTCTCAGAATTCTCTCTACGTCAGCCTGACATGCTGCAAGTTCAATCTGTTTATCCGTTCACCTTCCACTGCAGTTGGTACTTTGATTAGTACCCAACTTTGGTTCTTGCTTGAATCTTGCTTTCTTACATCATCAACAAGATGATTTCCATAGAAATAATTATCTTTTCTGACTCGCCACGTGCAATATTTTTAGTTGTATCAGTCTTCATTTTTAGTTGTATCAGTTGACATCATTTCTCTATCGTTCAAATGTATTCTCTTTTTCTCGTTTCTCCAAATATGTACTTCAAAAATCCTAATATATCCAAGACTGTTTCATGGGAACCTTTGTTGAAACGTCCTCTTCACACGACAATCCAACGGAATTGGAATGCATGTCGCCGTAAGAGATTCTTTTTCCAGAAGTCGTGCACCTTCCAGAAAAAGTGGGTCTCACGGAGCCCATTTTGCACTTGGTGTCAGTGCTTTGAACCAATCAGAGGGCCCAAGAACGCCCTTCTCTTGGTACAATTTTACAAACTTGACCACTGGGGCCCACTTTGCTTCAGCGTAAGCTGGTGCATTCCATCAAGGATCTGCAAGATCAACATGCAGACAATCCGGTCCCACGCCTTTAGATTAGGCAAAGCCGTGGGACTGACAAATCCCTGTTCCGTTGTCACACAAGCAAGACCCCTCAAACACAGCACAAAAACAAATTGGGTGTTTCAGCGTACCTTGTGGATTCAAGAGGAGTGGATAATCACCTCGAACCAATTTCTTCATCAGAACAGCTTCATATACTGACTGACCTGCTTCCACTGGGAGCAAAGATTTAAACAAAGGCTTCTTGGCTGTAAACGGGACAGTGTGTTCAGGTCGTTGTAGTCCAGGTGGTGGACCGGCAGGAGGTAGTTCCAATCGTTGTCGTTTTGCAAAAGGCGTCTGTACATCATCAGAGAGACCATGTCAACTTTGATCTTGGACGAGAATTTGGTAGGTAATGCATTTTTGAGATTGACGTAATGTTTGAGGGCGGCAGGCCAAAGTGAGACGTGAATTACATCAGGCCATGGGTGAGCAGCATGAATCAAGGCGGTCCGAGCTCCCTTAGTTACATCTTTGATTCTCCTTTCAGCCTTTCCATTTTGATGGTGAGCATTCACTCCGGAGAAAGTTAAGCCTTGCCCAGCCTTTTCAACTGAAGTTTGAAATAGTTTAGAATCAAACAAACCGTTGTCTGCATGATAGTGTCGTACAGAAACTCCATGTGTTGCACATTCACGTTTGAAAGCTAGTTTTGTTAATACCGTAGTTTCTGCATTCATTTCTGTCATAAGGTGGATGTAGGTGAAGTCACTGAAGTGGTCAACAAAAGCTGTCTCCCCAACGTATCTCATGGTAGAAGGAGTTCCTTGATGAGTTGGAACAAATTGTGGTGTTGGGCTTGCAAGTTGGTCAACACTAATGACCTGTCCTGGATGAATTGCAGGTTTGATTTGCCATTTGTTGGTTCCCTTGTATCGCCATGGTTTACAATGAGCTTTTCCACCTCTGGATCATATGTTTGCGCTCCTTCGGAAACTTGCGGTTTGTCAAAGGTAATTGCTCAAGGTTCAGATTCTGAAATAGGTGAAGTAAATTGGGCTACCTCAGAAGCTGAGATGTCAAACTTCTTGTATTGGGCTCCCTCGGTATTTATTTCAATCAAGACTGCATTTGGTTCAGTCAAAACAGAGATATGACTTGGTGCATCAGGTACTCCCTCAGAAATGGAAGTGTCTTGGGAAACAACAGTAGCTTTTGATTAAAAATAAGTGCTTCCAGCATACGCTTCCCAATGATGACGGTCGCAGTCACACAAAGTGGTAGACATGCAGAAGTCTTCATATCCTGTTTCCGATCGGAATGTGAATAGATCCCTGTCATTTATTAGCCAAAAGGATGAGATACCGGACTTTATAAAGGATGAGATACCAGAGGGTACAAAGGTGAAGTCGGAGGGAAAGAAGTTTCCAGCAAGAAAGTATGTTCCAGATGTGTCTGGCTGCGAAAGAAGGCCAATGAAAGAAGGGAAAAAGGTACCAGTGGGTACAAAGGTGAAGGTGGATGATAGAAAAGATGTCATGGATGAAGCTGATGGCAAAGGAAGGCCAATGCATGAATGCATAAAGAATGCAAAAGAAAATAGAGCAAATTAGAACATGAATGCATTGACAGAATTGTCAAGTCTGATGCAAGGCAGAGAGTGCCTCAGAAATGAGATCATGAAGTGCGTCATCATTACCGATCATCGAGAGTGCATTAGCAAGAAGCGCAATTACATCGGAAGTGGCGTTGCTGGCAGCAGAGCCTTTCTCAATTGGAATTTTGGATTGAACATCACCTGCATTGGCTACAGCAGCAGCTGCAGCTTTTTCTTCCAACCAGGTCTTGCGGGTTTTGCAGTCAGCAGTAGGATGGGTGTGCCATTTGAGGTTGTTACGGTGTTTGGGACAACCGCAGAAATGCCAAGTTGCATTGTTATGCGTTTTGGTATCCCCAATAACATATGGTGTACCTCCCTCAGATTCTGGTTTCTTGAAGTGTCGGACAAAGGGAGGCAATTTGTCTTCTGTAGTAGTGGCCTTGGGAGCCGTTTTTCCTTTTCCGCCTTTCTTGTCAACACTCTTTCCTTTCTGAGCAGCAATAATAGGAGCGATCATGGCAACAAAATCACCATTGATATCTTGAGGGGTTGTAGTGGTTCTCCAAAGATGATTGGCTGACTTGTCGGCTTGTAGTTGTCTGCATTTTAACGTGGCTTGATTCATGAGCCACTGATGAAGATTAGGAGTACCAGCAGCAGCTGCAAGGGTACCTTCACTAAACGCATCAGACTTGCTGTTTGTCCAGTTAACAAAATCTTGCGGTTGCATGATCTTTCGATAGGTATCAAAGATGTAGAAGCAGCGTCCAGAGTCTGGCATCAATCAAGCGGCAGTACTGGCCAATGTGAATAGGCCAATGATCTTGGAATTGACAGCAGTCATATCAAATTTGGAATCCGCGGGCTCAAGGTTCATAAGATCTTGGATTGCGTTGCTAGATACTTGAAGAGATGCAGCAGCAGTGGTGGCAATCTTGCGCTTGAACAGAGACGGGCCGTTTCCATGAGTAAGAAGATTTCCAGGTTGTCCGAAGATTTCAATTCTGAGATCGCCAGTTATGCTTGAAGCTAAGCAATTGTAGAGGCATCTTGAGTTCTGAATGGCACGAGGATCATTTCTGGCAGTATGTGCAGCTTGAAGGGTGGCAAGAGAAATAGAGTGCTAATCGGAGAGAAGATGGTGTGTACCATAGGTGAGAATTCCATTAGGAGACGGAGCATCCCATTTTACTTCTGCAGCTCAGGTTTGGAGAAGGAGTACGAACTGAAAAAGTTCTTCAAAAACGCCCGACCAAGGGGTTGTTAGTGGAGCACTGGCTTGAGCCCCCGCTTTTGAACCCTGTCGGGAAGAGATGTCAAATGGTGTAGCATCATCAAAAGAATCAAGGATTGGAGTTGGTGGAACAGCGACAGCCGGTGGAGCAGCCGCAGCAGGGACAGCAATAGGAGCAGCAGCTTGTGCAGCTAGCATCTGTTGTAGCAGCCAGCTGCAAGGTTTGCGCAATGTTGGTGAATGCGGCATCTTGTTGGTCAGCCATGTTTCGTTGTGTTTGGGCAATGATCTGATTCTGTGAAACACGATTTGGCTTAAAGGGATTTGAAGGTGGAGCACGATAGGGCTCAAAGGGGTAGTTGTTAAGGTCTAACAATGGAGTGCTGAGTATTCAACAGTCGATTTCGTGAGGAAGATCTTCCGTTAGGAATCGTTGGGCTCAAAACCTATGAATATATCGTTGTTATTATGATGTAAAGTAAAGATAATGATTTTACACAAGAAAGAACGAGATCAACAAAGATAGGTGAAGATGCGTATCGAATGCATTATCCTTCGAGTACGCACTTGAGACACGGAACGGATCGACTCACTCTCCCGATTCATGTGTATGGTTAATCTGTGGTTGCTGAGCAATCTATCAAATTCGGTCAAGGCTGCTACTACGTGTGCCTAGGAATGCTTATTTTCCATAGTTATGGAATGAGAAACTACCTGTTCACTTGCGCTGTAATACGTGTAACGAGAGAGAGGACCTGCGGCTGCGGTTTCTCCAGGACAATGATGTCAGAACTATAAAAGCATATTCTTCTCACAATTTCGGGAAGGAAAGAAAAATGCAGTATCAAAGTGGACGAGAACGTTGCTTGAAGATTGACAAGCCTCTGCCCATTTCTTCCTTCTTCTCTCATCCAGTCAAGACTTGGAAAAAAAGGATTATGGATTCATTCACTGCATATTTACATACAAAAGCATTTTTTTTATAAAAAGATCTCATGGTGGCGACATCTTTCATCGGTTCCATGCCACCTAATCACTGCAATGAGTCCGAGCAAATAACGTAATCGCTAGGCCCCTTCTATTTGATATGCTAGTACGACAATTGTCGCCAATTCTTTACCTTGGTGTAGTATTGTGAGTGCTGCAGCTGATACCTCAAAACCCGCATAGTTTGGTTGCTATTGCAATTGATTCACATCCAAGTGACGCTGACTGTGGCCACCACGAAGACTATTGGCAGTAAATAATCCTCGCCCATATTTCCTCATTGTCTGCAAATTTCCGTAAGAGAAACCACATTTTGCGGTAGTAGTATTTGAGATGGCGACAGTCCAAAGGTCACACTTCGGTTGTAGATCTCTTCGGCAAATTCTGGAGTGACCATCGAATGAACCAGTCGCAAAGATTCAATCGCATTCCGTAGCCGAGCAATCGATTGACGTTCGTCAGGTAATACGGGCGTCGAGGCGTGTTCTTGACGCAATTGTTCTTGCAAGTCTGCTAGATTGTTGGCCTCTTCACCGCCGAGCTCTTTGAGTTTGCGCTGAATCCAAATATTTCCGTTGGTACCCCACAAAACATCCAGAGTATTATTAATCATGCTCATGTAATGGTTCTTTCGTCTTGGAATCAAGGATGGTGGCACTTGTACCAAGGATCCATTTTCCAATTTGGAATACCGAAAGGATCGTGTGTGCAGACTGAGAGATCCATCACTGGGCTGTACCTTGTGAACTTCCGCACATATCAAATCACCTTCTTGTAGAAACAACCTCATATCCCGTTGATCTTGTGCTGTTCGGACACGCTGGGCGCCACCCGGAAGATGAACTCCACTGAGAGGCAATCGGGCATCTCGTTGTTGGCTCACCAACGAAATCGTCCATTGAGAAGTTGCGACAGAGGTGACTCTTCCCACTACCAAATCTCCCACATTTCCTGCATACCTAGACTCGCAAAACGGAATTACGGTAATGAGTTTGTTCATTCGTTGCACAGTTCCACAAACACTGGCAATCAAGCGTTCTTCACTTTCAACGCGTTCCACGTAAGTGCCGTGCCCTCGTAGAAATGAGTTTTCATCTTTGCTTTCTCCTCCTCCTTCAATAGAAGAAGACGCAATCACTTGGCCGGGAATGACTAATTGCATCATCTCGGTGTGTGCTGTATTATTATATAGTACAATATGTACAGTATGCGTGTGTTGTAGAGGATGATGATGAAAGCAGTATATATATTGATGTGTATTATATTATATTAATCTGCGTTATTTTATAATAAATATGATGACGAGATTTTGATGGTGGACTTCATTGTACTGACGACGGACAGAGTATGGGTCATCAGTCATCAGCTAATAATTCAGAGAAACTGTAATGTACAGTATATATAAAGTCAACTTTATTACACTTTTCTACTTGGCTATTCTAATATATTAGTCCTAATATCAATATATACACAGTCTATAATATTACCTTAGAGTTTATCTATTTATGGTTCAAAGGATTCATTCTTTTTCAGATATCCTCTTCGATCAAATTGTATCTTTCGATACCAAGCAATCGAAGCCATGACTAGTACCATGACAATGGCCGAGGCAGCTACTAGTCTCTTCCAAAGTGGCAAGGGTTCCTCCTCGTCATCATCATATTTATTTTGTCGTTCCTGTTGCCACTGCTGCCGCCTTTGTTCCTCATGGTGCGGCTCGTACTCATCTTTTGTGGTAGCAGAGGCATGCACTGCTTCCAAACCATTATTGCCACCATCTTGGTCATGATGATATTGTTGGTTGCCACCACCATTATTGTTATTGAGGGTGTCATCAAAGGTGACTCCCGGCCAATATTGCGCCCTAAGAAATTCATAGATTTTATGATCTTCCCATCTCCCTTCTCCCAACCAACAACTCGAACACCATTCCTGGGGTGGCCACAAGACTTCTTGCGGAGTCGTATCTTCGACTTGTTCAGGTTGTTCGGCAGTCAATCGTTCTTTGCGAAGTCGTGCATTGACACCATTGTGCGTTTCATACAACCACAATGGCAATTCCTGCCATTTGGATAGCAACAAGTCGGCAGAATCGGCACCAATAATAAGCTCCATTTTGGTATCCGTCAATCGATTGCAACGATCATAACTACAGGAATCGTATTCGTGCAAAAAGTGCATCCGACATTCTTCGCATTGAAAAAAGTGTTGCACAAAGCCTCGAATCGAGTCCGCCACATGCATTGTAGTCAATTGTTGACTTTTTTGGGATGACATTTGATTCCATTCAATGGCTCCAATGGTAATGATATGAAAGAGTTGCCAGAGACCACAGGTATATCCCGTGCCATGTTGCATACAAGCTGGACTCCAAGTCGATGAGGGTGGTTTGCTTACAGTAGCAAATTGATTCAGGACCGTTTCCAATTCCTCTTCGTTGTTGCTAAAGATATCATTGAAATCATTGATCAAGTGCTCCACAAGCGGTTGCAAGGGAGCCGTCGGTGGAAAGGTCTTTTGGACCACGACCAAGAACTCTTGCAAGGCCGTCTTGACTAGAGTCGGTAACTTGTTGTTGGTCACAAAGACGCCATTGCGGAGTGCAAAATCCAACGACAAGTGAGCATCATTGTAGGCTTCTTGTTGCGATTTGTGCATAAAATGGTGAGCAGCAACCTTATGGTGATCATGCTGCTGCTGTTCCTGTTCCTGTTGCTGCTGCTGCTGCTGCTGTTCCTGTTGTACCTGGACAGAAGCAAAATGCTGTGGTTGTTCTAGTTTCGGAACTTTGTCCTCGTTGACATTATTTGACGTCGACACAGTCATTCCCAATTTTCTCAAGACTGTGAGGGGATGCAAATTGTTGCGTTGAATGACTGTTCCATTGACCGAATTGGCTTCGTATAGTAGGACAGTGGGATATCCAGTAACCCCTTGATCCCGACAAATGACATCCCAAGGCACACAACTGACGGCAAAGACATTTACTTGAGGAGCAATGGATTTCATTTTGCGGGCAAATTGAATGTATTGTGGCTTGAAATGAATGCAATGGGGACACCAATGGGCATAATATTCAACAACTTTTGGCTTGGCATAATTTGGACTCAAAAAATCAGGTTCTTTGTGAGCCTTGCCGTCTTTAAGGGTCGTTTCATGGGTTTGCGTGACATCGTCCAATCGGACTTCTTGCACGGGATATCGTGCTGTGGGTTCCATTTTGAGATACATGTATTGGCTATTGTCCGCTGTTGCTGCTGCTGCTTGTACTACTGAAGTCATTGTCAGCGTCACCATGATCATCGTGAGCATGAAGAGAGAGCAAACATTGCAGGAATGCTGTAATACTACAGTCATTCTTGAAGTATTGAGTCGATTGATTGACTGAGTTGACTAATTGATTGCCTGAGTTGATTGACTGATTGATTGATTCTGGCACTTTTTCTACAGAAAGAGAGTATTCAGAATTCAGCATTCACTGAAGCAACGGGCTGCCAAGAGCGTAGAGATCGTGCAACAAGAGCAAATGATCTTTGTCGGCATATATAACCAACGACCAAAGCAGCAATGCGATCAATATAAGCGAGATGCGATGATGAATGAATTCAATGGAAGTAATGAGTGGACTCATACGACCACATTGGGAGAAAGAGAGAAGCAGAGACATCTGAATCTTTTTCATAATATGCAACATCTACTCAAGACTGAATGATCGAATCGTATCGTTATCGACACCTACTATACATACTCGAGACATAGCTTATTCCTTGCTTTCCGAAAACAGTGCTACCGCCAAACTCAAACAATATAGGTGTACTGCATACTTTGATAATATACATACATCATCAACATCATCATCAACATCAACATCGCTGGTGATCGTCATCATGAACACCCCTTCTGCCAAAATCAATCCGGAACTCATCGACCAATTGTACGGAACTTGGACCTTTGTGTCTCAATCCGAAGCAGACTTGGGATATTACAAAGCCAAGGCATATTTGGTGGTTCATTTCATGCCGGATCCGTCTCAGACATTGGGATGTTCCAAGGACGGTTGTTCCGAATTTCAGAATCAACTCTGTCAAGGCGGAGGATCCGCTTGTGTCAATACCGAGACGACGCCAGTCGAATGGAGTGATGGTAAGAAATACTGCATATGAAAACATTGATTTGTCGTACCGGTATGCACATAAAATTTGTTCATTCTCGCTTTTCTTTCTTTCTTTTTAAAAAAAATTGTAAACATTGTAGTGGCTGCACTGTATCAGTTTGGGTTTCAGGTCGACACTGGTGCTGTCGTGAAGAGTCATTTTCGGCAGGGTACTGGGGATTGGTTGGGTCCTTACAATGTCATTCTAGCGGAAGCGCCAAAAAGTAATAGTAGTGGTGGTAGTACTAGTAGTCTTGAACAACAAGAAGAGACTGCAGAAGCGAGACGAAGGCTTGGTGACGCAAATGGCTCAACAGATGATGATGGCTCATCAACCACCACAACAACAGAAAAAGGAGCATCATCACCTTTATATGTGTCCCGGCTAGTCCAAACGGCATCCAGTCAATTTTTGAAACCACCTCCTCAGGGCAACATTATCTCGGATGATCTCTTTGATGAATATGCTGGACTTGAGGCCATTCAAAATACCATAACGACCCAAACGTCGTATCCATTGGATCTATCCACTGCGGAAGACCCATACGCCAAGCAATTAAATACTTGTGACAATGGCAATTTACAACCAGTTCTACCACGGTTTACCATTCAAGCAGGAACACCAAAGGTTGTTCATTATGATGATGATGTTGATGGTGCCAACACCACCAGTACATTCACTACTACTACTACTACCACGTCTGCTCTACCACGAGCACAGTCTAATACATTGGAATTCTCGCTACGGTATCCCATTCTCAGTTTGCCCTTTACCAATAAGAACGACAACAAGAGCGACAACAATAACGGCAAGAGCAAGAGCAACAGTAATCCATTGACCAAATGGTGGCCCACCTTGCAAAAGCGATTGACCAAACCGAAAATAGTCCATGGACCCTATTGCTACAATGGCGCATTGGAAGCGTATACCATTGACCTGAATTTTGCCAAGCAGGGACAAGACCCCGCCTGGGAATTTGTCAAGGGATGTGTGAATGGTCTTCCCTGTTGGCAACCCGATGCGCCGGCAGCTGCTCCCGACCATCACTATCCAGGGATTCCGGATGGGACTGCTTCCTCTCTATTAAAGTGGGTCAATTTGCAATTGGGAGCGCCTGGATTGATTGCACTCTCTGTACTATTGGCAATGTCACTGATTTGCAATTTACGATTGTGTTGCAAGATTAAGCGACGACGACGACAGTCACAATCACAATCCCAGTCACAATTACAGTCACAAGGCGATGAGGAAGGTGGAGCTGTTGGAGCTGGTACAACAAGTAGTAGTAGTAGTAGTAGTAGAGATGCAACAGGCAACACCAACATGACGACTCCAAGAAGACAAAGGAGGCAACCTAGTAGACCGACTGCTGCTGCTGCTACCACACGTCAATCACAACAATCACAATCACAACAGCCCAGAAGCGCCCAGATCCTGACTCCCAGCAGACTGATGAAAAGGGAACCTACCAGTGATGAACCAGCAGCAGCAGCAGCAGCAGCAGCCTCTGAAATGCACACTCCCTTGTTGCCCAAAACGAAGAAGAAGAAGATGAACAAGAATGGCAACAACAACAACAACAACGAGAAGAATACTCATGCGGATCCCAGCGCCCCTTTACCTCCGCCCATGGATCGAACTCCTGCTTCCAAGAATCCTCCAGTCAGTAGCAATATTATGGATCGAACCCCTATTGCCACCAAGGTAGCAGGACCAAAGAAGAAGAAGAAGACGACGACGACGACGAAGGAACCCAGCAAAGCTTCTATTAATACTACGACTAGTACTACTAGTGCGGATATCGGTACTGCTTCGACGGCAATCCCAGAGGAAGGAACGACCACGGCATAGTAAAAAGTTACATGGTCATATATAATAATAATGGTTGGCTGGTGATGGAGAAAATGAATGAATGCGAGTAATACATTAGGTAGTTACTATATTTTATGGAGTAATAATGTTGATAAAATATTCTACTACAATGATAATGACAATGTGATGATTCTAATTCTGTAGGTCCTAACCTAATGTGATACTATATTTTTTTTAAAAACGAGCCGCAATATGCAAGATGAACCATAACCACAGGCCAATACGTATATAATAATTCCAAGGCACTTACATATATATATATATATATTATGCGCACTTTTCTGATACAGTATACAGTATATAGTGTATAGTATATACAATAACTTGCCAGTGTTACATGACAAACTTGCCATTGGGTTGTGCAATGCGCAGTCCTTGCCAGGTGGTACTCCCCGAAAAGGGTGGAGGCGCATGCGGACGCAACTTGTGGGTATCAAAAAAGCATTGACGACAAATTCGTACAGGGTCCTCTCCCTCTTGACTGGGAAAGGCTTGACATTCCAAACACCCTCCTCGTGTCATGTAGACTCCCAAATGACGCTTGTTCGTTTCAAATTTTTTCTTTTCCGTCTCGTTCAATTTAAAGACGCAAATTTGACACGGACCTCGTTTGACATGTAAAGTTGGTTGAAAGGCATTGTCGCAAATGGGACCTTGAGGGGCATCGTCATCATCAGCATCGCTTTCCGGCTTGGGTCCAGGAGTGCGTCGGGTGCGAGTCGGAGTCTTGGGGCGTGTGGGTGTCTTGGGACGAGAAGGAGTCCTTGGTTTGGTTGTAGCAGTGGTAGTAATGGGTTTGGGTTTGGGACGAGAGGGTGTCGTGGGCTTTCGTGGAGTCGTCTTTTTGGGTGCCACAGGCTTTGGTTTGTTGGGCGCCACCGTCGTCTTTGGCTTGGGAGCCACCGTCTTTTTGGGAGTCTTTTTGACTGGAGACGGTTTTGCCTTTACGTTTTCCTTGTCCGATGTGACGGACGGAGTGTCCTTCTTTTCTGGTGTTGGTGGTTTAGTTACTGCTGGTGTTGGTTCCGCTGTTTCCGCTGTGTCTACTGGTTCTGATGCAGATGCAGATGCTGGTGTTTCTACTTCTACTCCTTCTTCTTCTTCTGCGTCCTTATTGGCAGCAGCTTCATCACTAGTAGCTTCTGATGCTGTAGGCACTTCGGAAGATGCAATTTGACTAGTATCGTCAGTATTAGCTGTATCTTCTGTTGTAGCTTCCGCAGCATCCGCAGTGTCGTCGTCGTCCTCCTCTCTGGTCGTGTCCTCCAATAGATCGTTCATCAGATCGTCCATTTCTCCGCCAACCACGTCTTCGTCGTTGTCTTCTGCTGCCTCTAGATTGTCGTCACCGCCTACGACAGAGTCTTCCAGGAGATCATCGAGTTCAACTTCTTCATTGTCTGCCATTCTTGTATACGGTAATATTATTTGTAGTACAGTATTATACCGGTATATTGTTTCTTATTATGTCACAGCTTCCGCTTATTGGATCTTATTTCCAATGTTACTGTACAGTTCCACGCTTTCCGACGACTCGAGCAATTTTGAAATTCTATCGTGCCCTCTCGTGCCTGCCTGCTTCCAACCTACCAGTCTCGTACGTGGAATGGTAGGTAAAATAAGCAAGCAAGCAAACTGTATGCATGCGCGCGCATTATGTGGAGTGTTTTCAAAAAAGCCGGCACGCACCACGGTCCGATTTCTAATGTTCATTTGGGCGCCAAACCCTCTTTATTGTCGGACAGTTTAAAAATAGTATTGTCATGTCCGATACTGTATAAAGAAATGACACAAACGATCCCGACAACACGAGAAAACACGAAACCTCAAAACTAATATACTCAGAAGTCAAAAACACAATAGCGCAATCAGCACTACACATAACAACAAACAAGAACCACAAGAACCACAAGAACAACAACACTAACACTCAACATGTCCATGACTAGATTGATTATAGGTGGAATTCTCGCCATTCCTTGTCTCTTGGTGACAGTCTGCGTCGCTCCTTTGTTGGCCCTCTTGGCCATTCCTCCCTTGTTGGTCTTGTTGCTTCGCAAGGCACCGTCTGGTTTGTCCTCCAAACATCCGCCCGATCAAGTCATCATTGCGGGTGGATCGTCAGGAATTGGATTGTGTCTGGCCAAGGAGTGCGTTCAAAGAGGGGTGCCAAAGATTACCATACTGGCGAGAGATCCCACCAAACTGCAAGCGGCCAAACAAGAATTGGAAGCACTCAAGAAGAAGAAGAAGAAAGCAAATGCTACTACCACCAAAATTCAAACCATTTCCGTTTCCGTCAGTGATTTGGAACCATTGAAACAAGCGGCGGCAATTTGTTTTGAGGAAAGCAGCAGTAATTGTAGTAGTGGTGGTGGTAGTAGTGGTAGCAATCAGAACTCGCCAGCAAGCACATCACCACGAGTCGCCCTGTTCAATTGTGCGGGAATTCCCTACACGACAGAATTTCACAAGATTCCTGCCGACGAATTCCTCAAACTGGTACAAACCAATCAATTGGGCAGCATGTACCTCGTCCAAGCCTTTTTGCCCTATCTGGACAAGGGTGTCATTTGTTTGACCTCCAGCGTGGCAGGTCAAGCGGGAGTCTATGGATATTCCGCCTATACACCCACCAAAGCGGCCATTGTGGGATTTGCCAATTGTTTGGTGCACGAATTATTGACGACCAAACCAAATTTGCATGTCCAGGTGGCCTTTCCAGCAGATACCCAAACACCAGGTTATCAAGAGGAAATTAAAATGATGCCAGCCATTACCAAGGCATTGAACGAAACTTCGGGGTTGGCCAATCCACTAGAGTACGTATTCGTATTCGTATTCTATCTCTATTTGACTGTATTGTATTTGTATTTTGTTATGTGATGTGATGTGATGTTATGTGATGTTATGTTATGTTATGTTTGTTGTGCTATTGCGTATTTTATGTTGTATTGTATTAATGTATTACAAATCTTACCCTTACATTTACCTATGATTCATTTGTATAGGACTGCCAAGGCCATGGCCGATGCTGCCTTTCAACCCCATCCCAAATTTGGAGTCTACTTTAATATTGATGGATGGGCACTTACCAATCTCACGGCAGGCTTTGGACCAGTGAGTAACATGGGGGATGCCTTGGCGCAAATTTCCTTGTTGAATCTATTTCGATGGATTGCCCTCTTTGTTCAAAATGATTTTTGGAGAATCATTCGATCCTTTGATGGCAAAGAGGAGTTGGACAATGGTATAAATGAGGGTAATAATAATGAGAAGAATGGTAGTGAGGGCAAACATACCAAGGGGGATTGACTAGTACGAGAAAGCCAAAAAGGAAAAGCATCATTATCACATGGAGGAGCCGTAGTCGTGCCGAAAGGTACAAGAACGTCTGGTGAGATTGTTACTACTGCTGATACTGTGTCAGGAGTAGCAAATGATGATTCATTGCATCATCCTCATGATTATCATCATCATCATCATCATCAGGACCAAAATAAAATTGTGAATGGAGCAACTGATGCCAACTATGGGTCAATGATGGATGCCTAATAAATAATAAATATAATAGGACATATGTATAATAGGACTATACATATAGTATAGATGATTCATTCTAGTCTCCAGAAGTCGTTCGTCAACGGATTATGGCTTAGTTCATCATCCAACATATAACAATCATCATAAATGTTATATAATGCGCAATGAGAGATGATATCATACATATAATATATCCTTCGTACTACTAGTCCTATAATAGTCCTATAATAGTCCTACTACTACATTCAATATTGTTGCAATGCAGTCGAAGCATTGTAAGGGAATCCCACATCTTGCAACAAATATTGCATTTGTTCCAATCCAACACTCTTTGCAAATCCTTGAATCCAGGGTCGTACTTCTTCATCTCCCTTTCCTATTTCCAATGACGGTTCATTTTTGGCATTGAGTTTGTAAAATTTCTTGGTACGATTCATCCAATCATTTCGACGATCGGCAGGTCGTTGATAGGCTTCCATACTTCCCAAATAATGTCCGACGTACATCAAATCACCCTTGTTGTTTCCTTTGGAACAAGAATCCAACAAATTGTGCGAATAGACATCTCGCCAACCAATTTTGCTCATATCCAAAGTAGAAACATCCACCATGCTCTTGCCAATGAGTTTTTGTCCACGATGTCGAAACCGTAAGGTAGTCAAACGGTAGGGATCAATAGCATTGCTACTACTAAGAATGCTAGTAGTACTAGTACTACTACTGGATCCTGCTGGGATTTGTTGTGTCATCGCCATTAGTACTGATTCCCGGGACGATTCAAAGGCGGGGTATTCTTTGCGAGCCATGACGGTACAATTCGTAAACCACTTTTCGGGAATCTTTTGTGGTTGTGGTTGTGGTTGTTGTGTTGCAGTAGTTGCAACAAAGAGTGTTGGATCATTGTTGGCGTGCACTTTGTGAATGACGTCCAAGGCGGCTCCTGGTGTTTGGAGCCGTTCGGGGACGTTTGGTATGTTGCTCGAATCGAGGATCAAATATTCGTCCGTATCGATCAATAACGTCCACGTCCGATTCATTTGATGCAAGTGTTGGATGCAGGCATGATAAAAGTATCGTTGTGCCCGACGATGCTTTTTGGTTTCAATCGACATGTTGTCAATCGTCTTTTGTTGATCCTTGGTCATGAAATCCGACTCTTTGGTCCAATATTCCACTTGAATCTTGTCTCCCCATTTGTCAAAGAGTATGGGAGAAGGATCGGTCGTACTTTTGGGATCCTTGAAAAAGACTAGATAGCGAAGTGGCAATACATGATAATGATAGGCCAACCATTCTCCCAATTGTCGATAATCATCCATCCATTTGAGACAGATAGAGAAGGATTGTCCAAATGGCTCTTGGGATGCATCGTAAATTGATTTGGATGTTGATGTTGGTTTTGATTCAGATTTATTTGGTTTGGATTCTATTGGTGGTGGTTTGGATTCGATTGAAGGTTGTATTGGTGGTGGTGTGGGTGGTGGTGGTGTGAGCGATGGTATCGTTTTAGTAGTAGCAGTAGTTTCGGACGGCGTGGGCGGTATCGTTGCTGCACTGTTGTTGTTGTTGTTGTCGTTGTTGTTGTTGTTGTTGTCGTTGTTGGATCGATTCTTAGTGGCGTTATTTGTGACATGATGATCACGCATTGTTGTTATCATTGTCGGCATTAAGCCATTCTCCGGCAATTCATGGCTTGCTGAATAATCATACATGACGAAGAGTCGATAGCTGTTCCATATTCCATATATTGACAATGGGATCAATAATATAGAAACATGTTTGATTTTCATGCTCTTCTTCTCGTTGTTATGTTGTTGTCACAGTATATATTAATATTAAATTACCCAGCATGTGTATGATACGAATGATGTCTTCCAATTTTGATGCGGTTGTTCAGGTTGTGACTGAGGTTGGTCGTCTGAGTCAAACATCTTGATCTGGTCCGTCTAGTCCAGTCGTCCTTCCTTTCACAGTACGAGTATATTATGAGTACCGGTACAGTGATAGTACGTGTACCTTGAATTCCCCCATTTAAAATGCCCCCAAACAGTCCGTGGATGAGAATGATGAGATTTTCACCATATATATATGACGCGCTATGCGATTTCCATAACACAAGTACTTGTACTTGTACTGTTCCGCGACAACAACATTAACTATTCTATGCGAATGGTCATCATACCGTACTGTACCTGATACCTTCTATACTTTACAATATTTATATTTCCTTGTTGTGGCCGTTGATTGATTGATTGATTGATTCATTCATTCATTGATTGATTCATTGATTTTCCTTTCCCGATTATATAGTAGTACATCCAATCCAATCCAATCCAATCCAATCCATAACCAATCCAATCCATAACCAAATCAAATCAAATCCAATCACATACATTCATGACATGTTCCACAGAGCTGGTCTTTACTCCAAGAGTACCGGTAGCCCAAACAACAACAAGCACAAGAACAGCAACAACTCCGGTGCCATTCAGAACGACAGTGAGGCGGCATCCGACCAAATAAGCAAGAAATCCAAAAAACGGCAATGCGTTCACAGGATCAATGGAACTCTTCTTCGGCTACGCCAATCCTTTGCGAATACCGCACCTCTTTGCAAAGCCATGTATTCTTGTCTTTTTATCATTATTGGCATCTCGGTACTAATACTTTCGAGTCCAGCAATATCATTCAAAAGAATAACTCATGGAATGACGAGATCCCGCCAACAAGTCTACAGCAACTATCATTTTCATCAGCCACGCATGCTTCAACTGATTATTGATGGTGATGGTGATGGTGATGGTGATGGTGGTACCTCATCATCCTCCAACCTTTATCATTATGGAAAAGTCCAAACCACGGCACTCAATAATCACGACAATCTTTCCAAAACCATCCAGGGGTCCTCGAAGAATAAGCATCATCATCATCATCATCACCACCACCGCCTTATTGATGGCGAAGCAACCAGCAAAAAATCAAAAAAGGAAAAAGGAGCGAGTTCCGCTCTGTACAAAGCAAGACAGAGGGATCCATTGCACGAAGGAGACTGTGAACCAATGCGGTGGTGGCAAGAAACTAGGTACGTATTGTACACACACCTTCGTACATATATTGTTGTTGTTTGTAATAATGTGCACCAAACAATAATAATGCGGAGTCATGCATGCATTCATTTATTCATTCATGCATTCATTCATTCATGCTTACCTATTTTTCTTCTGTTCAATTCCAGTTTTCCGTCTTGCAACATTATGCATGAGAAACATTTCGAACGAGAAGTGGCTTGGCTGACCAATGGTGGGTACAATTCCATCTTTCGTACAGTCGACAATAGTAGTATGGAAGGGGGGACCACTACCTACATTCTCAAGATTTTGCAATACGAAACGCCGCACACGGATCGAAACTTTGACCGCGTCCGACGAGATTCGCTCCTCATGGAACGAGGTACCGCTTCCAAGTATATCATGAACATTTACAGCTATTGCGGATTTACGCAAATTGTCGAATTTGGAAGACATGGCAATTTAGACGATATTCTTTGGAAGGCCTACGACTCGGTCACCCAACCACAAAAGCTTCAGATTGCGACCCAGGTAGCCCAAGCCTTGGCCGATGTACATGATCTGGATGGTGATGGGATTTCTAGCATGAGTCATGGTGATTTTGCGTCCAAGCAATACATTTTGATTGACGGCATTTTGAAATTGAATGACTTTAATCGAGGTCGATTCATTCGATGGAATCCAAAGTTGAAGGAGTCCTGCACTTATACGATTGGTGTGAATGATGGCAAGGTAAGGAACAAAAAGAATAAGAAAAAAAAGAATGGTTGCAAAAACTTGATTGATTCATTGATCGATTGATCGATTCATTGATTCATTGAGTTCAGTTGAGTTGAATCGGTGGTTCTAATCATCGTCTCCTTCTTCATATACTTCAATTGCATTCACAATGCGCGCGCTTTCAGTTTCGAGCACCCGAAGAATATCAATATGTTCCAGAGACTGCAGCGATCGATATTTGGGCTCTGGGAAGTATCTTTGTCGAGTTGGTGACGGGCTATGAAGTCTGGTATGGATATCAGACGGAGGAGGCTCAAAAGAGAATCGCCAAGGGAAAGCTACCTTCCTACCAAAAGCGGATTCAGAATAAAACGGATCCAATCAATGAAATATTGGTAAAGGCAATTGCCATGTGCTGGGTTTATGAGCCAAAGGATCGGCCCAAGGCTGGAGTTGTTGCCGATTACCTCAAGGGGGAAGCAAAACGACTCGGTATCGCTTGGGAGAAGAGTATATTGTCTGCGAAATAGGAGGACGCTATTATTGGATCTTGCGATGATGGCATTACTACTGCTACTGCTACTGCTACTGCTACTGCTATACCGGTATGGTGGTGCTATCAGTGATACTACTCAATCATCCGCACTACAGATAGTATACCTCTTCCTGTACAGTTACTACAGTTCAGTGGTACACGTAAAGTGTATATAGTATTTGCACGACTTCTTGGCACGATCGAAGTATATTGTGACGGTTAAATTTTGCCAAATTGGATGCACTTTTTTGTCCTCGGTTACTTATTTGGTGAGCTCTTTGGCACGTGATTTGCCACGTGTGCTGGTGATTCACTTATTGATTGAGCTCTTTGACACGTGATTTACTACGCATGCTGGCGATTTTGGGAATACGTTTTGAAAATTAAAAAAATGATGCAACTGAAACTCTAAAAAATCGAGAATCCAACGATTTTCCCCCATTTGATGACATCTATCTGACGCATTTTTACCAACAACTATTCTGAGAAAATGAGAAACGAAGTCCATCAACCAATTCCTGTTGATCTCGTCATCCGAAGAAGGGATTACACAGAAAAAGCTGAAAGAGATGCAGACCCCGTGGATTCAGCTGCGCTTGAATGGTGTGCATCCGATCAAGAAAAGGGCAAGCGCTTCTTCAGCAGTCGGGACGAAAGACCAAGACCAATGTATAATCAACACAGTTTGGTTCGAAACACTGTAAAAATGACCATACTATTACTTTGTTTACATGCTGCCGCAAGTCTGGCCTCATCGACATTGTCGTCACATGAAGCGATGAAACGAAATCTCATTGTTGCGGACAATAGAATACAAGATACCACCAACTTTCGTCAACCACGGATACTTCAAATCGATTCAGATTTACACACCATCCAGAATCTGGATCAGCACGAATACATAACATCAAGTCATGAAGTTCACGTTTCCAAGAGAGAACGAAGAACCAAGGAGAGGCTCAACAACAGCAAGAAATATGACCGCCACTCGCTACGAGACCCAATTCGAGAAGGAGACTGTGAAGCCATGCATGCATATCAAGAAACTTCCTTTCCCAGCTGTAACCTCATGCATGAGGTTAACATGGTACAGCAAATGGAGGTGTTGACAGAGGGGGGATTCAACACAGTATATAAAATGACAGACATTGACGAAACCACCCACATTGTCAAAATTCTAGAATCCGACAAGGACTTTACGGATCGCAACTTTGATCGAGTCCGACGTGATTCTGTAATCATGGAAAGAGCTAGTGGCTCAGACTACGTGGTGGATATTTACAGCTATTGTGGATTCTCCCAAGTCGTTGAGTATGGCCGGCATGGTAACCTTGATGATATGTTGGATGGGACGTATGGTGATCTATCACAGAGTCAAAAGCTTCAGATTGCCACTCAGGTAGCACAAGCCCTTGCCGATGTCCATGATCTGGATGACACGGGTATTTCCAGTATGAGCCACGGAGACTTTCTTGCGACACAATACATTTTGATCGACGGGCATTTCAAGTTGAACGACTTTAATCGCGGTCGCTTCATTCGATGGAATAGCAAACTACAAGAGCCATGCACCTACCGAATAGGTTACAATGACAAAAAGGTAAGCAAAGGCATTACCTTTGATTTTTTCGCCGATAGGGTCAAGTTGAAGCGTCTCACATATTTTGATAACTTTTTGTTCCACAGTTCCGATCACCGGAGGAGTACAAGTACATCCCTGAGACCGCAGCCATTGACGTGTGGGCACTGGGTAGCATTTTTGTGGAGATCGTATCGGGCCAATCAGCGTGGCATGGATATAAAGACGAGGCTGCGCAACAGGAAATCGTCAATGGAAAGTTGCCACCATTTCAGCAATACATTCAAACCCCCTCAGATCCAATCAACCAAGTATTGTTGAAAGCAATTGAAATGTGTTACATATATGATGCAAAGGACCGACCAAAGGCGGGAGTAGTCTTGGAGTATTTGAAGAAGGAAGCAAAGAGGCTTGGTGTGGAATGGAACAAGCCATTTGTGAACAACAGGGGGCTGGTCGTGGGGAACGCGAAGATCGAACGATGAATAGAATATAGAAATGCTACCGATTTCATAGAGACACAAAGGTGGGACAAGACTTCAAGGAAATGCCTGCTAGTCTAAAGACTATGAATATAGAACCATTTTGTTTTCTTTTTGAATGAGATTTAATGAAAGGCTCATTGTCGTAACGCACTCAATCTATCCGGTTCCACTCAAATCCCAACCTAGTTACTTCGTTTTTCAAGTACTCCACGACAGCTCCAGCCTTCGGCCGATCCTTTGGTTCGTAGACGTAGCACATGCCAATGGCTTTGACCAGTACTTGGTTGATTGGATCGGATGGATACTTGATCTTTTCTCGGAACGGAGGCAGTTTTCCAGCAACGATTGCACTCTGTGCAACTTCGTTTTCGTAGCCATCCCAAGCTTCTTCGCCCGTTACCAGCTGGACCAAGACGCTTCCCAACGCCCACACGTCAATAGCTGAGGTTTGAGGAATATAATCATACTCTTCTGGTGATCGAAACTGAATAGGACAATGGCAATAAAGTGAGACTATATGAACAACACATTGGAGAAAGAACACCATAGTCCGACATCTGTCAGCACATACCTTTCCATCATTGCTCCCAATCGTGTAAGGACATGGTTCGTTTGTTTTCTCATCCCATCGAAGGAAGCGTCCTCGATTGAAATCACTAAGCTTGAATTTGCCGTCCACCAAAATGAACTGCTTGGAAGCGAGATCTCCGTGAGTCATACTCGAAATGTTGTTTCCATCCAGATTGTGAACATCGGCCAATGCTTGTGAAATTTGTGTTGCGATCTGCAGTTTTTGTTTCTGTGACAGTCTTTCATATACAGCCATAATCCAATAGTTCAGATCCCCACCCTCACCATATTCAATTAATTGAGAAAAGCCGCAATAACTGTAGGTGTCGAGTACAAAGTCAGAAGCCGTCGCCCGTTCCATAATGAGGGAATCCCGCCGGACTCGATCCAAATTACGATCCGTGTAGTCTCTGGCATACTTTAGGATCTTAGCAATGCGGGTACTGCCATCCATGTCAGAAAACTTATATACTGTGTTATACCCACCATTCGTCAATACTTGAAACTGGCTTTGAATCTCCATCTCGTGCATTTTATTGCAGGAAGGGAAAGAGGTTTCCTGCCAAGGTTTCATGGGTTTGCAGTCTCCTTCTCGAAGCGGGTCTCGTTGCCACTTTCGGTACTGTCTGCTGTTTTCCAGGTGCTTCTTCGCTGCTCGAGTTCGTTTGGTAATCTGGATTTCATGTTTGCTGGACGACGACGACTCTTCAGCATCTCCTGCATCATGGTTGTTGTTCTCTATGGTAGTATAGAAGTGTGGATCAATATACAGGACACGGGGCTGGCGAAAGCTGCTATCATTTCGATTGTGTCGAGATAATGATGCTGAGATTGAATCATCCACCGCGTGCTGAAAAGATAGCAGGTGCCTCTGCACACTTTCATTGGTTGGAAATGATGATGATGATGATGATAGTGACATTGAATGATTGTTGAATAGATGACTCAAAGCTGAGTGTAGGCATATCAAAATCATGGCTGTCTTGATCGTCCAAACCGGTCGGAAGCTTTGAATTATCCGAGAGATAAGATAAGTGGTTTTCATGTAGACTTCTTTGCTGTCATCATCAGCATGATGATGATGATAATGGTTCCCTTTGTCGGCGGTAGGAGAATAGCTAGTGCCGATTGGGTCTACTGGTACTTTTATTCTTTCTGGAATGGCTCCTCTGCGGATCATGGTGACTTTGTATCTGTGAAATGCAGTTGCTGTATGATGTTTATAGGGATGCAATATATATGTGCGGGATAGACCGATCATCACATTTTCATTTTTCATGCATTTCAAACAGTACTGAAGCCAAAGTCCCTCGCGAAAATAACTGAAATATACCCGTCGGTTTTTAAACATGATACGGAGCTGCGCGCGAAACAATATTTCGGGATGAATGAATCAAAGGGGATCATACAGATCACAACACATTTCATCATCGCAATCACATGGCATACCGCGGTGAATAGTTGCTCATCACCATGGCAAAAAGAGAAAGCACAGGAGATTCTCTAAACACAACTGATTTAATCCCAAAAGCAGACGTCGAACAGCACCTCCAGGATACCAATGGTCGTCAGTTCATTGAAAGTGTTGCTCCCGCGATGAGACTAAGCAACTCAAGAAGAAGTCCTATTCAACACAACAACAAACATATCGTTCTGATAAGCAGCAATCACAATCACAATGCAACGCGAAGTCATCCTCGAAAACGACAATCACTGTTGTTATTCAAGGCAGCAATACTGCTGTTTTGCTTACACTCAGTCTCCAGTAACTTTGATTCAGTATGGTCGCCCTTAATTACGGGTATGATGAAACGCAAACTTTCTCTCCAAGCAGCAACAAAAGCAGCAACAAAAACAAAACTAGAAAGCATCAGCTTTATAAAGCCACGTGTCATCAAACTGGATGCATCGATCGAAAATGTACAGAGTCTTGTCGATGATGATGATGAAGAACACAATGACAAAGAGTCCTCGTCAGAACATGAACGACGTGCAATCAAAGTCTCGGAAAGAGCCCGAATCGCCAAAAAGAGCCTTGAAAATAGTTATCAATACAAAAAGTGGCAAAGGGATCCAAATGATGAGGGATGTGAGCCCTTGAGGGAATGGCAAGAAACATCCTACCTTTCCTGCAATAAGATTCATGAGGTAGATTTCGTCACTCAGGCGTCTTATCTGGCCAGGGGAGGACTCAACGCAGTGCTCAAGATGACTGATATCGATGGTTCCACACATATTGTCAAGATTCTGAGGTACAAGCGAGACTACACGGACCGCAATTTTGACCGTGTACGCCGGGATTCTCTCGTCATGGAACGTGCCACAAGTTCAAAGTACGTCATTGACATGTACAGCTTTTGTGGGTTCTCACAAATCATCGAGTTTGGAAAAGATGGGGGTCTTGATTATTGGATGGAAGATGGATATGATGATTTGTCACAAATTGAAAAGCTGCAAATAGCTACTCAGATATCTCAGTCCTTGACTGATGTCCACAATCTCGATGGCGACGGCATTTCCAGCATGACTCATGGAGACATTGCGGCAAAGCAATATATTTTGATTGACGGGATATTCAAGTTGAACGATTTTAATAGAGGACGTCTCATTCATTGGAATAGCAAGCTACAAGAACCGTGTCCGTACACGATACGGAACAATGACGGAAAGGTAGGTGAAGATCAAGATTGGTTAGGCTGGTTCTTTGGATCGATTCTTGTTCCCAAAACTGACTGACACCATTTTTTCCATCATGCTATGTTTCATAAAAGTTTCGATCGCCAGAAGAATATAAGTATCTCCCACAAACAGCCGCAATTGACGTGTATACGCTCGGAAGTATATTTGTGGAGATGATCACCGGCAAAGAGGCATGGTATGGGTATGAGATAGAAGTTGCCCAACAGGCTATCAGCGACGGTATGTTGCCACCACTAGAAGGAAAGATAAACAATCCATCCGACCCAATCACCCAAGTGCTGATGAAAGCTATTGAAATGTGTTATGTCTACGAACCCACAGATAGGCCACAGGCTAGCAATGTCACAGACTTCCTGAAGGGTGAAGCAACACGACTTGGTGTGCAGTGGGACAAACTCTTTGAAGGGGTGCGGAGAAACGCTTTGACGACTGCGGAGTAAAGTTTCAGCTATACAGTAGCATAGTAGGAACGTCTAAGGAACTATCGAATGAATGAATGAGCTCATTGAATAAATCGTCGGTACACAGAACTTCGTTTTTTTCTTTCGCAGCTTTTCTTCTCCATCTTCTCCGTTGAACAAATTCAGAAACTCTCCTCTCTGTTGGCATAACGGCTGGGTGGGCAGGCAGATTCAAAGCGAAACTTGTTAAGTCGTTGTCGCCTTTGATTCAAACTCACTTATAGGATTTCCGTTTCGAACACGTGCCATCTCGCTAAAATCCACCTTATACACGTGTACCATGTTCTTTTGAAATCGCTTCAAGATTCCGTGACGCAATGATATCCTCCCAACGGATAGATTTGTGAGAGGTGCGTTTTCGAAAACATTTATACAATGATCCGAAGAGGCGCGAACAATGAAAGAGGGCGAAACGACTCATCTGTAGATTCCAGTAGGAGCGATGAAGAGCACCATGACATTGATGGAAGTCCACTATCGAGGAGCCCTCAAGAAGCCGACCAACAAGCCTGCACAAAAAGCTGCAATCGTCGTGTAAGTGGAAGTATTGGTCGGCTGCGACAAAATCACCAGCTAATCTGGGCTTTCCAGGCAAGCATGCTACTCTTGTGCCTGCATTCAGTAGCAAGTCGATTCGATTCAATATCGGCAGTCCCAACGGTGGAGGGTATGCAGAGGAGGCTTTCGGTGAGAGAACAACAAACAAGAAGTGACACCAGCTTTCGTCAGCCACGCGTTCTTCAAGTGGAAGACTCATCCTTTCAAGCTTCTCAGAATCTTGTTCATCGTGATGAACACAACGCGTCGAAATATGAAATTCAAATCACAAAGAGCGAGAGACGTGCCAATAAGAAGAATCTAAGAAATAGCTATCAATACAAGAAGTGGCAACGAGACCCACTAAGAGAGGGAGATTGTGAACCCATGGATCCTTGGCAAGAGACGAGCTTTCCTAGCTGTAACCTCATGCATGAGGTTGACGTAGCACAACAAATGGAAGTGTTAACAGAAGGAGGCTATAATACGATCTACAAGATGAAGGACATTGACGGAGCCACCCACATTGTCAAGATTCTAAAGTACGAAAGGGATTACAGTGACCGCAACTTCGATCGCGTGCGGCGCGATTCTTTGCTCATGGAACGAGCGTCTGGCTCCGATTATGTCATCGATACCTACAGCTTTTGTGGGTTTGCTCAAGTCATTGAATATGGCAAGGGCGGAAGCCTTGGTGACTTTTTGCATAGCGATTATAGACGCATAGCGCAAAACCAAAAGCTTCAGATTGCTACCCAGGTTACTCAAGCTTTGGCCGATCTGCACAATCTAGAGGGCACGGGCATCTCGAGCACTACTCACGGAGACTTTGCCACCAAACAGTATATTTTCGTAAACGGCAGATTCAAACTGAGCGACTTCAATCGAGGGCGTTTCATCCGATGGAACAAGAAAACGCAAGAGGCCTGTCCGTACACAATCGGTCACAATGGAGACAAGGTGAGAAGGTGGTTTGGTTCGTATTCGGGGTCTGGGGGACTCGAAGTAGTGCAGTAGTAGATACGATGATCGACAATCTAATCCATTGCTTATTGCAATTGCTTATTCAGTTCCGAGCGCCAGAAGAATACATCAAGGGGGCACCTCAAACTGCGGCTATCGATGTATGGGGATTAGGAAGCCTGCTTGTAGAGGTGGTATCGGGGCTTCCAGTTTGGTACGGATACGACAATGAGGTTGCGCAGAAGGCGATTCTGGAGGGAATAAAGCCACCATTCCTCCGTGAACAAATAAGTAACCCATCCGGTCCAATCAACGAGGTGCTATTGAAAGCTATCGATATGTGCTGGGTTTATGAAGCGAAGGATCGACCAAAGGCTGGGGTCATTTTGGGTTACTTGAAAAAGGAAGCAATGAGGTTGGGAATTAAGTGGAATGAGCCATTCAAATTGAATGGCCAGCATCAAAAAACGTGGAGTTAGTGTTTGCGATTTGATCTGACAAGGCAATACGCGCATGAGTCACTCTCTTTGTCTTTGCCGCCCGTTGATACTACATCATCATATTACTATACAGTGATGTCGTGATTTGACCTAAAAAATGATCATCTTCTTCTCCCAAACAGAATAGAAGATCGCACAAATCAACAAAATGAGGATACCAGAATAACGCGTGTGTTTCCCCGCCGACCGCTGGCATATGCTTCGGATTATACATACCGCAGCATTGAACACTAATAATGTACTCATCAAAACAGCATCGATTCAGGACTACTTTCTATATATTTTTTAGACCTGAATAGTCACGTGCGGTATTTGATAAAGTTCAATTTGATTGTTCTCGTCATTTGGTCATTTGTTGTCATCCTTCATTGTTTTTCCGATCTGCCAATGAGCGTCATTATGGCATGATGTACACTACGAGAATGAATAGATGATGCGTTGTTCTAATCCGATGGATGTAGTGGTGGTGATGATCTAGGAGTCGCCGGAGACTGCACTTCGCAAGGCCACGGGAAATACCATGGATGATGTCCCTTCCGATGAGATCCATTCATCCAGACCACCGAAAGGATGGATTGGGTCGGCCTCTGCAAACATTTCTGGAAACAGAAGCTTTGGATTCAACAAGGATAGCAGAGAGAGCTCTTCCGCTTCATCCTTGTTATTGGGTTACGACGGTGACATCAAGACATTGGGTTACGACTATGAATTCAAAACACAAATAGATCAAGACAAATTTACTTGACGAATAGATGAAAGAAACTGAATAAGCTTTAGTCTAGACCATTGATTACAATTATCTTTCCCCTCTCCTTCTTCTTACTGCTATCATTGAATTCTCACGCGTGTTGTTCATAAAAGGGTAACTGCAGCACGTTTCCCTCTAAAAATTGCTGGACTTGCATTTTCACGATGTTTGAGTTACAACTATCTGGGATACCCCGCAGTTTGTCCTAGATCCGGGTTTCTATTATTTCTTTTTAGTCCGTGTGGTCATTTTCACCCTTTTCTGCATTAGTCTCTCATGATAATCGAAGATTACCCGGCGCCGCCTCCACTCCTGGGCTTGAATCGCATGATGTAGTCTTTGTCTGGAGAGATCGCGCACGTATGCTACCATGGAAACTGTGGCAAAAGCCCGATGCTACATAC